CTGAAAACCAAGAGGGGGCGGATTGGCTCACAGTGTGTTTCTCATAGGTCCTGAAGCCAGAGTCTTAGTAGATTTAACACTAATTTATTTGCGATTTGGACACCCAACTGTTAAGACCATGTTCTAATGTTGAGAATCTAATTCGTGTGGAGAATCCTGCAGCTCTGAGTTATGTTCTCGTGGGCTGTTCTCTCCAAACCCATCAGAGGGCAGCCAGCCAGGCGCAGACCTTTGGCCTTGGCGACACCAGGAGAGGTAGTTTACAGGGCCTGGTGGGTCCTTCTCACCTCTCGAGGTTCTCCAAGTGAAGGCGAGGCAGACCTATCCAGCTTATGTGGCTAAACAAGTTTTGTTTCTCTAAAGCAACATGGAGAGATTAATTTTTGTACAAAAATAAATAAATATTGCCTGTCGCCCATAATTCACAGCCACATTCAGTGCGGCATGACCTGCTTCTTTTCCTCTGCTGCTAAAAAGACATACATACATATCACACATATACTTTTCCCTTTTTAGTCTAAGCGCTATCGACTCTGCTGTTCTTTTGCTGGGGGTTTCATCCAGCATGTTTACATCAAAACGCGCGTCCTGACCCCAGCCGCGGGCTCCCTGCTGCATCCTAGTTACAAGGGCTGACCAGCTGAGCGCTTAGCTCCCCGACTGCTTCAGCTTTCTCTCACCTGTCTGCTGCGAAACCACCAAAGCCGACACTAGGCAGAGAAATAAGTGAGGATGAGCATTAGATGTCAATGTGTGCCATGTGCTTAACTGGCTGACACACATCTTCACTGAGACTCAGCGGACTCAAAAGTACCTCTTTGAAAAACCTGTATGAATCAAAGGATACTATCAACAGAGTGAAAAGGCAACCGATGGGATGGGAGAAACTAATCCCTTAAAATATTAAGGAATTAATATCCAGAATACACAAGGAACTCCTACACTGCAACAGCAACAAAACAAATCAGCCAATTTTAAAACGGGCAAAGGGATGAATAGGCATTTCTCCAAAGGGTGATACCCAAATAGCCAACCAGAATATGAAAAGATGCTCAACATCACTAATCACTTGGGAAATACAAATCGAAACCACAATGATATACCACTTCATACTCATTAGGATGGCTACTACTTTAAAAACAACAACAAACAAAATAAAACCAAAATAACAAGTGCTGGTAAGGATGTGGAGAAATGGAATCCTTGTGCATTGCTCATGGGAATGTAAAATGGCGCAGCTGCCATGGAAAACTAAAGCGGTCCCTTAAAAACTTAGACATAGAATTATCATATGATCCACCAATTCCACTATAGGGTATATACCCAAAAGAACTGAAAGCAGGGAGTCAAACAGATATCTGTACACCCAAGATCATAGCATTATTATCCACATAGCCAAAAGGTGGAAATAACCCAAATGTCCATCAATGCATGGATGAACAAAATATGGTATATATACACAACAAAATATTATTCGGCCTCTAAAGGGAAATTCTGACGCATGCAACAACATGGATAAACCATGAAGACACTGTGCTAAGTGAAATAAGCCAGACCCAAAATGACAAGTGTTGTATAATTCATCTTATATGAAATACCTGGAATAATCAAATTCATAGAAACAGGAAGTAGAAAGGTGGTTGCCAGGAGCAGAGGGGAGGGAGGAATGGGGAGTTATTGTTTAATGGGTACAAAGTTTCCGTTTGGGAAAATGAAAAAGTTCTGGAGATGAATGGTGGTATTTGCACAACAATGTGAATGTATTTAATGTTCCTGGACTGTACTCCTAAAAATGGTTAAAATTGTAAATATTATGTTATATATATTTTACCACAATAAATAACAAGAGAGTCCTGGAAAATAAACAGAGTTATTATATGAAATAAAAAGAATGCAGATTTTTATGAGAAGGTGGGGAAATGATTAGAAAAATGATGCTCTAGGTGCTATAGCTTTTTCTTCATGTTTGCAATTCAAATTGCAAAGAGAGACAAATGACCAATATATTAGCAAATGAGACTTTTTCCCTGTATGAGATACAGTCAAAAAGTGTCCGGCCCAGCCGGGTGTGGCTCAGCAGATGAACATCGACCTAGGATCCAGGAGCTCACAGTTCGATTCCTGGTCAGGGCACAGGCCTGGGTTGTGGGCTTGATCCCCAGCTGGGGGCATACAGGAGGCAGACCATCAATGACAACTCTCTCATCATTGATGTTTCTATCTCTCTGTCTCTCTCTCCCTCCCTCTCTCTGAAATCAGTAAAGATATATTTAAAAAAAAAAAAAAAGTGTCCATGTTGTTCCAAGATTAAGATTAGAGCCAGTTTGGGGAACTATTACAATTCCTTTGTGCTTTTAGATTTTGGAAGTTGTCCCAACATAAATGTAAATATATATATTTTAAAGTACAAAGCAAACCAGTATTACAAAGTGGCAAAAAAAAAAAAAAAAAAGAGTAGAGAGGAATCCAAAAAATATTTATGAAGTACCTACTCTATATTAATATGCAAGGGGCAATCTACATCAGAAAGACCACTTGGAAGGTGGCAGGTTTTCTCACAAAGTTTGCCCAGTCTCCCTGAAATTGCTCAGTAGTTTAATCACACAATTGTAACATTTCTGGCAGGTGTAGGTGGTAATGGTGAAGGATAGCTAAATATTCATTATTTTATTTACCCCTTAAACCTGTTTGGTGTGTTCCAAAGCTTGAAAATCTGATAAAAACCCATGAACAGTGCAAGTGTCGTCTTTCAGTGTGTGTTTGGCAGGGGGCGGAGGGCAACTAGTACTGGAGTGAAGATGAAGATCAGACAGAACTAATCTGTAGAATCTGTCACCTTTAAATTCTAGTCATGATTATACAAACCCTTCTGTGAAGCCCACTGGCCTTTCCTTTGCTTTGGGGGTGCTTAGTCTTTGGTAGCTTATCTGTTATTTATGAATTATAGATGTCAGAGCTAAAGGAAACCTTAGAGGCCATAGTGAAGGATTTTCCTATTTACTTTCACACTTAAAAAAAAATAACTTGAAAAACTCTCCTAATTTCTGTCCTAAAGTGATGTGGTTTCACTGCTGGAGAACGGAAGTGACAGAACATCACGGTGTCCGCGGTCAAGTTCAGAAACCTACATAATGACCTTTACTGTTGTTTTCACCCCATGTGCACTCACTGCTGTTTACTAATGACCACTTCAGACACTCTTGAGATACAGACAGACTGAGCCTCTCACTTTAAAGAAGAAACAGGCCTTGAGAAGGTAAGTGACCTATCCTAGGATAAGTATTAAGTTTGCTGTTTGGACTCCCGACTGAATGAAGCTTCTCACAATGAAAGGGTGTTCCTCTGTTCTCCTGAAGGACACAGTACAGAATGAACAGAGGCGGTGATAACAAATACCCAGCGAATGACCACAAGCTCACACATGCTTTCCCCATAAACAGGTCTGAGAAATTGCTACTGAAACACAATGCCAATCCAATGACACTGTCTTCTACTGCAGGGACCTGATACTGGTTAAGGCTGGGGTGGGCCAGGGGGCGGAAATAGGTTTTTATTTCCTGAGCTTCCGTAGAAATATTTGATTTTTAAACTTTCTTAAAGCGATAGAACGCAATCATCACATGCATGCAGTAAAACGAACAGTGTCATATGTCACGAGAGGACAAATATAACTTGGCACATTTCTGGAGGACAGTTGGAATATATCCAGGGCTTTACAGTGTTCATTCTCATTAGTCCAGTGGTTCCATTTAGGGAAATTCACCCCAAGAAAATAATCAGTGACACAGGTAAAATTTATAGCCAATTATGTTCACTACAGTGGTATTTATAACATAATGTAATGAATAGAATACCATGTATTTACTATTGTGAGTAACAAACATAGCTTTCAACAGTATGGAAATGGCTAAATAAATTATGGGATAGTTGTAGACTACAATATTAATTTCATGTTCTCAACTATGTTAACCTTGTAAAATCATATTTTAGAATGTATATGAAATATTTAAAACAATGAAAAAGGAATAAATAGACCGTAATGTTAATTGCGGTTTCTTTGGTATGTGGGATTTTAAGTAATTTTATATTGTTGCTTTATTTTTCTAGGTTTCCTTTAATAAGTATGCTTTTAAAAAAAGAAAAAAATTATAATTAAAAAAAAAAAATCAGCTCTCCAAGTTCCTGATTCAGTTCAGATTCCACCCTAGAGGATATGAAAAGAAGGAACTTTTGGGGTGGGGTTGGGGGTGAGGAGTTTTTGGGCACATCAGTGTCACTAGGACCCCTCCCTGACATACAAGATCTATTGCCTTTACCTTTCAGATCTATGTGAGGGCTGTGGCTGCGACTGGGGAGGGCTGGCCATGCAGGGTTCCAGATGAAGACGATACACATGACCTCTCTTTTATGCTTCCCATCCCTGCCACAGTGTGCTTAAAATGATCAGCCACAGAATACTACCTTCTACCTGTAGAGAATTATGGAGTTGTCAGAGTGTATTTACATATGTTGTAATTCACTGGACTGCCATGAGTTAGAGTCTGACATGACAATTACTTTTACTTTATATGACAAGTGAGGAAACAAATTAGAAAAGGAATGAGGACTGTTCAAGAAAATATAATCATCTTCCATAGCTTGTACAAAGGACCCTTCCTTGTGTCCAGCCCTTTCGGAAGACAATGCTGATTGAAATACCCTTGACCCCTGTTGGGAGAGTGCAAAAGACAAACTATAAGCAATACATAATTATTCCTCACCTCTTATTTCCTAAGATGCTCACACATGCGTATAGCAGCAATATTTTTCCTCTTAAGCCACAAAGAGGTAAACGAAACAAAGAAATAAGGATTTATGTTGTGGGTTCAAAATGACTTACTCTGTATAACCGCTCCTGTTGCCACATAACGACATACCAGGTGCACGCTAAGTAGCAGATAACTCGGTCAACAGGAATGAAAATTTATGTTTTTCCTTAAGGACACAGCTGGTGTACTCACCAAAAACCACCAATGTGACTTGTCTGGTCCTTTACAGGATGTAGAGCGGGAACACGCAGGGAAATTCAGGCAGCTTGCTTGGGGCTTCTCAGTTCAATTTTCGGAGTGCCCTTTAAGGCAGATCTTATGGATAAAAAAAAAAAAAAAAAAAAAAGCTAGAAATGTTTTCTATTTCAATATAATTTTCATACATGCGTTAGAAATTTGGAGCATTTTCTTCAAAAAATGGACTGCCATTACTCTATCATGTTCTCCACAAACCAAGGAACGCAACCCCTTTTCTTCTTCCTGCCTTTGAACAGGGAACAGGAATATGAAAATGACCAGTTTCTTCCATTTCTTATTTTTCCCCTCTGCCTTCTTTAGAGCACCCGTGACTCTAAGATGAACAATACATATTTAGGAAGGAACACAGATATAGCCTATATTTTATGCTTACAGACCCTTAAAAAATGAGGTGGTTCCCTTTACAGGGATGGTAAATCTAACTCATGGGCCCCCGTCCCCACTTGGGGGCTTTGCTACACATCACTGATAGATCACCACACTTTTTCCTGCTGAATCCAGAGAGGGTCCCAAGACCACTGCAACAGGAACCACCATCACTGCCAACTGATGACAGCTGCTATCAAAGTGACTTGATATTCTGCCCTAAAATGTGCAGCTGAGATTCTGCTGAGAATGTTCTTTGCATGGAAAGTCCCACAGGATTTGGGGGTCCTAGGATAAAGGACCTTTAAAGTCATGACATAGAAAATATTCAAATTTAGTAGACTTAAGAGTTCAAGATAAGGGAATTTTGGATGAGACATTAAAGTATATCCTAAGCACAAAACTTTTACCTATATTTCACATCTGGATACATAATCTGCCCAACTTTAAGAATATTCCCTCCCAACTACCGAGAGCCCTCACAGAGCCCCCTAAGATTCAATATGGCACAGTGGCTGCAGGACCAGACTGGGGGGCTAGAAGACTAGTTTTTGTTTTGTTTTTTAATTTTTCCCAACTTTATTGAGAAATAAATTGACAAATATGATTGTATATATTTAAAATGTAGAATCTGATGGTTTGATAGTTTTAATCCTGGCTCTGCTGTGCCTTTTTCTGTGTTCTTGGGCAAATCACTTCACTTATTTGAGCCAAAGTTTGTTCCCTTGAAGAAAATTAGGAGTTGGATGACTGGTAGTTTTCAAACGGTTTTAATATTTGTTTTGCTTCATTTTTTTTAGGTGTAGCACGCTTTCTTCCACCAAAGATGTATCTCGGTGCAGAAACAAAACTGAGAAAACAGGAGCTGGCTGAAGTGGAGGAAGGGGATGATATGGGGAGGGCCCTCCAGCTCACTACCGATTCTGCTCCACCGCCCACAGGGGCTGTGGGGGCCCCCGCAGGACCGTTTGGACTACAGAGAGCACGGTTTGGAACCGGCTGATTAAATGGCCTCTAAAGATAGTTGCAGCTCCAAAATTATTCTGTTGTAACTATCTTTATATTGCAATGACTGGCAAAGCATTCAATGGGATCCACAACCTGATGGGAACACACGCAATAAGACCAAACCAGGAGCTGATTTTAATCATTTTTATCAATGATTTACTGGGGGGGAGGGAGAGCACCATACCCTCAAATAAATCATAAAGTAACAGCTGTTAAACTACTGCTCAAAGTATATAACCTACACCCAGGTCTGTGATGATGATTTCCTAAATGCTGCATCCTGGATAACACCTTATGATCAACATCACGATGTTTGTTAAGGAAAAATAAATATGCAAATGTACAAGTTGCATCCTGAAATTAATCCTACCCTACTCTGGCAACGAAATGAAATGTAGACTCCTGCACTATTCATTTACTAGCTAAGTGAATCCAGACAAATTTATTCAACTTTTCTGAGCCTCAGTTTCCACATCCATAAAAGTGGAGATAATTCCTTGCAGAACTGTATGGAGAACAGAGAAAATATTTATCAAGCACCATTCTGGCACATATTGTTTGTGCACAGTTGTGAGTTTTCTCTTTTCACATAATGGCAAAATTTCCCCCTTTAAAAAATAGGATCATGGCAATGGACACGTAAACTCCATGAATTGAAAACTATTAACATATTAATAAAATGATAGGTTTTACTTATTTTTTTATTATATCTTTATGAAGGAAAGAAGGGCTATTGATGTGCCTCTCGTGGCTGTTCAAGAAACAGAAAACTTCCCCCAAATGAAACACTTAGGTTCAGTTGTTTGTTTCCAGAACGACTCCAAACACATTTCATAACAATTTTAATGTTGTTTTGTCATAAAAATCTTCAAACACAACCCATATGCCACTTTGTCCTGTGGCTTCACACTCCTCCTGACACATTATTAGGTACCCCACGGCACCCACTTTGAGAAGTCCAGCTCTAGTCCAAATCTTTGATTTTACTGTGGAGGAAACTTTTATCAATGGTCTCATAACTTGGTATACTAATAAGAAATGGCCTCCAGACATGAATTGGGTTAATTAACTCACTCCAATCCCCTCACTCATTCTGTAAAACAGGTACGGATATTGCTTGCTATAGCATAGAGTCTTTATGAAGACCCAATGGGGAAATTTTTCTAGATTCCAGTAGAAGGAAAAGCTGTTCTGAGTAGAGCACTTGGCTTGTTTTTATTTTGGGGTATATGAATCTTAGAGTTGATTATGATTCTCTCTTCAGCAAATGTTTGGTGGACTTAAGATACCTGTGGCATCATCTTAATGTGCCTGCCCTGACTTTTTACCTTCTGTTCTTGTTGTACCATAGTAGTTTTGAAAGTTGTATCAAGTCCATTTTGGGGATGAGGCAGGAAATAAATACATGAAATGAATATATGTATTTTTTCCAAAAAGATGTTCTAGTTCAATATTAAGTTCCAGGTCACATTCTGCTTGCTTTCAACTCTCAGTCATAACCCTAAGCTAACAAAGTAACCCTTTCATCCCCACCCTCCACCCCAAGGAATGAGAGTTTTGTTTCTTAAAAGCAAATCCTTTCTTAAGAGAAACCAACTGTGCACACCCAGCGATGCTGGTACGTGGGCCTAATGCTACCAGGAGACCACGGGGCAAGAGTGAGATGAGTTCTAGTTCTCACTGCCACCGGCGCCAGCTCACCATGGGCATGCCATTGGACTGAAGCTGGTATTAACACCTCAGGGAAGAACTATTACAGTGATAAAATAAGATAGCACATTTGAAAGCACTTTGCAAACTGCCAACCACCAGTTCCTGCCTGGATGCTGGCAGGAACCTCTCAACTGACTTTGTCCCATCTGCTCTTGCCCACTGCAGTCAATGTAGCTCCCAAGGCAGGAAAGGTGACCTTTTAAAGACACACAATTTGATCATATCACCTTCCTGCTTAAGCCTCTAAACAATCTTCCCACTGCCGTAGGATAAAGTCAATATTCTTTGTAGGTCCTATAAGGAAGACTTTGGAAAACAAACAAATAAAGGAAGACTGGCTCCTTCTGTCAGCCTCATCCTGTGTCACTTTCCCTCTTACACAAGCTGTTCCTAACGCTTCCAACCCTCGCCAGCGCCCCTGCCTAACCAGCTTACACTCATCCTTAAAGCTCACCCTCGAAGTCATCCCTGGAGTCCGAGATACGTTCCTGTAACGTCCTATAATCCCTCACAGCACTCCTCAATAACATGAGGCCGAATCACATGAAGCTGAAGGAGGACAGAAACGGTAGACTACTGGCCATTTTATTTGGTTTAACCCCCTTACAATACTTGGTATAACAGATCTAGGTTTGATTCACTACTATAACCCGTGTCCCACACCCCATCCTAGCACCCAGTAGGTGCTTAATTTTTTGACTAATGTGAGATGTTATACTACCTTTTTAATGCTAAGCACATAATTTTTATATTGTCCCTGGTAGTAAAAATTACGTTTTTATTCAAATGCTACTTCTAAGTGCCTTGGGAATAAAGGGAAGAAATGGAATGAAAAATTTACTTTTTAAGATTTTCATTTTTGGCATTTCTGGAAAGCATGAGTCCTAGTAAGTATAATACATATCATCAGGGATAAAATTAGCCCCTGGTGTGGTATCACTCATGAATTTCTTTTAACTCAAATGTTTCTCACCGAAGGACAGAATGAAAACAACTTGGAAAGGAAACCAGATGGTTTGGATTTCTCTCTTTTTACAGCTTTCACGTGCAACAGCAAGTCAGCTAGTGGGGGAAAAGATAGCATCTAAAAGAGTGCTAGACTAGAACTTGTCCAACTATGCCGTATGTGGTGTCCCTAATGACATGAATGGAGCAAAGACCAAGACTAAGCCAACTTGGGATGACGTATGGGGTAGGCTGGGCTTATTCACAAGCTACATGATACAATAATATTAATAGTGTTAACAACAGATGACATTCAGTGAGTGCTTACTATGCACCAGGTACTGTTTTATTTAATCACTACCACAATCCCATGAAGCAAATTCTATGGTTATTTTCATTCTGGGGATGAGGGAACTAAGGCACAGGGAAGCTGCCCATTGGCTAAGGCCCCTTAGCTGAAAGTGATGAGCTGGAATTCAAACTCAGGAGGTCTGAGACCAGAATCTGTGCTCTTAACTATTCTGCTCCATGGAAAATTCCAATTGCTTCTGCACCCGAGTCTGGAAGAGTAAAGTTGTGCTATAACAAAAATGGTGAATTATATGCATTTATATTGCAGCTTTAGAGTCATTTATGGCTCAAAACTGTGAATGGCAAACCCATGGATTGTCAAGGCCCACTGTCAAAGAATTTCTTTCTCAAGAGTCCCAGTATTCAACTTTAAGCAGTAAAAGATAATTTCAACCTGGGTTAGAAATATAAGAGTTTAATTTTTTTGTTGAGGAGAATGCCGGATATCATAAATATCTTAGGTTCAGAACTCCCTGGTTATCCAATTTGTTCCCTAGATTCTTGAAAACCTGTCCCATTTTGGAAAGCTTTTGAGAAACCTCAGAGACCCACAAAAGGAGTAAACAGAACCTGCAATTTCACTTTCTACTGCTCAGTCAATAATCTCTAATCAGACCATTCTTTCTTGCTACACTTAAAAAATTATCTACCTCTTTAGCAGCAAAGAAAATGAA